TAAGATATATCTCGTGGTAATCGTCATATTTTGCATTTTCCTTAGGTAAGGTAGGATACTTACTTACTTATCTTCACGCACAATCCCTAACGGGGTAGCCATAGAGAACAGATTGCCAGGTGTCACGATCCTTACATACCTCTTTCGCTTCTTTCAGGTTCATTAACTTCTTCATACATGCACGTCTAGGTATCCGAGTACTCTTGACCCTCCCCTCTTCAAGCAATTTGTCACATGGTCTTCGAAAGTTAGTCTCGGTCTACCTCGACACCTTTTAATATTTACTTTCGCTCTATATATTTTCTTCACCATTCGGTCTTCACTCAATCGCTCAACGTGCCCAAACCATTGGAGTACGCTCCTATCAATTTAAGGTCATCTTTCAATCCTGCCATATTGCGAATCTCTTCGTTTCGCTTTCGGTCGGCTATGGTAACGCCACACATTTTACGAAGAGATCGCATCTCCACTGCATTCAACTTGCTTTTATGCTTCTTCTGGCATACCCAGGTTTCGCTGCCATATAACAAAGTCGGTACCAACACTGCGTTATGTATTGCAAGGCGTGCACTCTTCACCACGCCTTGCCTTTTGACTAATGCATTCAGGGCACCATTGACTTTGTTTCCGGCAGCGACACGCCTATCCACATCTAAATCACATCTTCCATCCCGGCTGAAAGCACTCCGCAAGTATACAATTTCATTTACCTGTTCTAGACATTCCTGATTTACCCATATTTCACATTTCGTTCTCTCTTCGTCCTTTTTGAATACCAGAACCTTAGTTTTATTTGCATTCAAACGGAGACCTTTAATTTCACATTCCTCTTTCATACACGTGACTAATGCCTGCAGTTCTGCTTCTGATGGTGCAATAAGCACTGCATCATCAGCATACAGCAGACAATTAACTTTTATGTCACCCAATTTCACACCCAAACAGCTATTTTTCAGCTTCTGTAAACAGTTGTCGAGATATAGTATGAACAGCCAGGAAGACATGACACAACCCTGTTTTACGCCCGCTTGGACGCTAAACATGGGTGACAGGTCATGCCCTACCCGCACACAGGCTTTACAGTCATAGTAAAGTAACTGCACAGCCCTTAACAATCGACCATCCACACCATATCCCGGCAACAGTTCCCACATTTTCTTCCTTATAACCTTATCAAATGCTTTCTCCAGATCCACAAAAGCACAGAAAATCTTCTGGTTAACACTCAAAAGCATTTCCGTGATCATGCGGAGAGAAAACATTTGATCCGTGCATCCTCTTCCAGGTCTAAATCCGCATTGTGCCAACCTTCCGCCGCGTCGGGCTGTGCGTGACGGGTGGCGGTCCCCATCGCCGCTTTGCGCGCTGCATTCCACACCAATGGGGACGAGCTGGTTTGCGTCGCCTTGGGGGGGACGCCCTAACCCTCGTTTGCATGGGTGCGCAGCTGTGTAGAATTGCAAAAAAATATAGGTAGTAAAAATATAGGTATAATAATAAAGGTAGGATTAGGGCCAAAATTTTATTACTGGAAGTTTTTAAGACGAAAAAAACACGACATTTAATAGTAAAGAAAAGAGGAGAAGGAGAATGATATGGGTGAAAGACTGAGTGACTAAGAGAAGAAAACTTAGGTAAAATCGCTCAAATATTCGGATTATCGTGGAGTTCTGGAGCCAACTTAGTTCCACATACTTGAGAATAGAGATGAATCCGAGGAGTTATTAAGTTAAGTCCCTTTTATCAAAAAACAAAATACGGTTTTAAGACAGTACACTCTGTCTTAAAACCGTATTTTGTTAGTGCTAGGCGAAGACTATTTATGACTTTAAGATTTCTAGCTTTATATGCGCGTATTTGTGTGCGCACGCTTTGTGTTTTAAAGAGTATTAACTACTACCAAAATAATTTATTATTTAGAATTTTATGATAGCTACGTTATTTAACAATATTTAAATTATTAAATAGCTTATTTACCTACAACTTAAAACTTGACTGATGTTGTTTTGTGTAAACTGCTACTAATTGATTAAAACCAAAAAAGCATAAGTATATGATACATACTAAATATACCTTTTTATTTCAATCCTGCCTACTAAGTTTAGTCATGATAGTTGACCCAACCGACCAAAGAGTTAGATATTCGTCACAAGCTCTGTCCTTTTCTCGCATAGTTTCAACACCTTAGCTAGAAAGAGAAGCACCTACCAAGACTGTAAAAATAGACTGCTATTTTGTAAGAAGTTTTTGGAACTATTATGATTTCTTATATTTACGCGAACACTACACATTTAAATAATACTAGTTTTTACGGATTTTATCGTGTATATATAACGTTTTAAATACCCGATGTTTCGAGCACCTTACAGCACCCATGGTCACGGGGGGACTGTCCCCCGGTGACCATGGCACTTAAAAACTAGTATTATTTAAATTTTGAAACTATTATTTATTTGGAGCTGGAACAGACGGAACAGATATGCGATTTTACCTATTACAACCAACACTCATAACTTGTTAAACTTTTTTCTTTTGTAAATGATTCGTACGGTTGTTTTTTTGTCAGGATCAAGTAATAGGCGTATAAAATAATTTATTCAAAGCCTCTCTTTTATTTGATGATGCATCACATTTCAGAGTTTATAGGCAGTTTTGACGATAGAATCTCAACTACTACTTAAGAAACCTAAGTATACAATATATCTATAGGTTTTCAAAATAATAGGTCACATACTCATATAGTTAATACACAAAATCGCATTACTTTTACGTATTAAAATTTCGTCAAATTTCATTATTTCTTTACGATAAAGCAGTAATTCTCTTGGATCAATTTAATTTATTTATGCTAGTAATTTATTGGGTTTAAGTCATTTTTGTTGTGAAACCCATAATAAGGCTAAAAAAAATGGAAGAAATATATTTAAGTGGATTTATACCGTCTTGTCATGAATTTATTTTAACGTACCATTATAGCGCAACAATGCATTCCGCATTATTTGACTACGTTTTTGTTGTAAGATATCCCTAGTATTAATTTATGTTTATTGATATTTCCGGTCGGGGAGGTCAACTAATGATGCTGTTCATGACTTGACTGAATTTATTGTGACTAATCTATATAAGTGGAAAAGAGTTATAGCCATCTTTTTATTTTTATTTTATGTACACACATCAAGATACAGAAGCAGTCTTATAGTATTTTCGTACAAAGGTTTACTTATTCCATAATTAGCTGTAATATCTTCCAGTAGGCCTGTAAAGGAAATTATATTGAAATTGCAAACTTAGTGCATACATTAGTACTACTAAAAAATAAATAATATATACAATGTTACGTAAATTATATAAAACAAAACAATAAATAAAAATAAAATAAATCAATACATAATAATAAATACGATAGTTACATATGATATATATAAACTAAACTAATATAATAGAATAATATATATTAATCAACAGGATGCAAAGTAGTTATCTCTAAGACGTTTCTTGAATAACAATAAAGTATCGGAATTTCTTATATTTGACGGTAATGAGTTCCATATCCGGTAATGATACCTTACCGCGTGAACTGAAAAGGAGTGGGAGTTAAAACCGGAATTATAGACGGGAAAGTCAAGAAGAGTTTTAACAAGGGATCTGCATGGTTTGTCCGGAGGACGGGTGAAGAAAAAATCGGCATCTGAGGTATGTGGGAGAGGAAGGGTTGTGAAAAATGTTATAGAGGAGACATAACAATCGAGTGATCCTTCGAAGTCGAATTGGGAGCCACTTGAGTTGCTTACGAAACTGAGATATACAGTCAAATTTCTTGAACCCAAATATAAAACGGATACACTGATTTTGCAAGCGCTCAAGTTTATTAAGAAGCTCCTCTGTAGCATCCAAATAACAGGCATCCGCATAATCAAGGAGAGGTAGGATAAGAGTAAGCACGAGTGATATTTTAGCTTTAAGGGGTAAGAAATTTTGTAGACATTTAAGCGAATGAAAAGTAAAGTAGACCTTGCGACTAACCTCAGCGATATGCGTGGTCCATGTTAAATTGTGATCAAAAAAATCTTTCTTGTTTGAGACCAGATGAGCATTGAGTTCCAATGTCTTTCGGAGTTCCCCAGGGCAGTATCTTTGGGCCTACTTTATTCTCAGTATCGTATCTCCTCAGTCATGTATTATACATATAACCTTCCTCTTGAATCATTTTGTCTGTATGATGATGTTGAGAGATAATTTTTATGATGATGAGAGATATTCTTGATGTTGACTTGTTGATTTACTAATTGTATTTCGATTTATTATATAAATAAATAATAAAGTTTTGTTACATAGTATGCTATAATTAAATTATTACTATGAACTGTACTATACAACTATATAACATACCATTTTTTTATTTCGTAATAATCATAAATTTCATAAGATATATATATATATATATATATATATATATATATATATATATATATATGTATATATATATATATATATATATATATCACTTATGAAAAGATAATTTAGGCATTATGAGTATATGGTCGGTTTTAGAAGTTAAATCTGGTTGGAGCTAGTTTAGTGGTTGGCAGCACTGACCGTGACTTTGAGACTTTGACTTGACTGACCATACCGTAATTCTAGTATACTTCTATGTGACTGACTGATCACTGTGATTTTTTCACCGTGACTTGTAGATAATATTATGTAAAATGTAGTGATTATATACTCTTTGAGTCTTCAGTCTTTGATTTGATAGTAGCTTGCTACATATTTATTTATCTATGTTTGATAGCATGATAGCTGATAGTATGCTAGTATGCTTTGCTTTGTTTTGATTCTTACTATGTACATAACCTTTCATTTTTGGTTTTTGATTTAAGTTTTTATGATATACAATGAGTGGATAATTAATTTTGTCCTTCTACATAAATGCACAGGATATTTAAATAATATTGACTCATCAATCTAGTGGAAGGCATGTTTGTGAATAAGAACTCAATATGTCATTGCCTTCTAAAATAAATAAAGAAAATTTTCGACTATTGGATCTTTCTAGTGATGAAGAATCCGAAGACTTGCAGTTAGAAATTATACCAAACAGGAAAAAGAAAATAACAAGGTTTTATATTTTACTATTACGTATTAAAGATTTCTTTCTGGTTATACTCAAAAAATTACTTATTTGTATGTAACTATAAGTGGGATTATTTAATTTTAGTTAAATTATGGTTTGTTCAACATTTTATACTGTAAGAAGAATTCGAAGTATAGGCAAATGAACCTGATAACAACCTTTCAGTGAAAAGTAAAAACGTTCAGCATCAATGTCAAGCCTTATTTATTCAATTTAGGAACTGTAGTCTCTAAAAAAAAAGAAATACCCTGCCACTAGTGGTAAAGTAAGAAATAATGCTATTCCGCCAGAATAGGTAAAATAATGAAATTTTTCTCTATTTATTACACACTGGTAAGCATTTCTTAGTGTCCTGCTATGTGGGCTAGGCGAGGTAAGGTGAAAAGATCAACTCTCCTATGATGAGATTAAAATGACTGCAGTTTCCAGCTTGGTTGTGCTTGCTTCATACAAGTTGTTTTTGTATTTAACAAAAAGCTTAAAGCTATTTTAATTATTATTATCATTTTAATACTACACCTAGTTTAAGATATTATAATAGCATAAAACAATAGAAATGCTGTAATATTTTAGCTCAGGGTTGGATTCAGCTTTAAATCTTTATAATTGTTTGACTATCCTATTTCATAGGCTCCTTTTCTTAGGATTCCGTCTAGGTGTGTACCATGCTCTTACCTATTTACTGAAGCATTTCTACTTATCATCTTTTATGCCACTTATCCTTAGGTGAACTCTACTCCTTTGTCACCACTTTTTTTATATATTAATGCAGAAGTTTTTATTAACAAAATATATGAGTGTTAATTATATAATTAGATGATTGACATACAGTAATAAAAAAAATGTAAGGGATTGTATAAGCAAAAATGGCATAACAAAAGTTTGGTTACATTGATAGTATTTTGCTAACTTCACTACAGTCCTCATAAGAAGGTATGCTGAAATAATATGTGCTTTAATATTGCTGAAATTAGTAACATATTGCATCAACTTTTAACTTGTGGCAATATAGCTTTTTCTGTTAAGTTGCTACTTTAGTAGCTAATAACTATATAACTATATATATATATATATATATATATATATATATATATATATATATATTTATATATATATATATATTTAACCATACAGGCTTACATTAAAGAAAATCATTGAATAACTAATATCAGTAGGATTTTGAGTCTTAAACAGAGGATTTGTGTTGCTATGTGTGAGAGACATTACTTTCTGTGATTGAATGGATCAATGCAAGAAAAACTTTTCTATCAGGGGCCTATCTTGCGGCAGATGATATCGAGCCGTTTTGATGTGGTCTATGTCACTTGTCAGCAAGTGCCATGAACCAGACATCATGGCAAAAGTTGCAAGTCTCCACTACAAGTTTTGCTGGGAGTATTTTTTCCACAAGCTTCTCCCAGCTTCAATGTTATTTCAGTGATGATTCTTTTTCCCTAATTTCAAAAGCGGCCATGTGATTCTTGGGGCAGTCTTTAAGGCGACGTAATTTCTCCTTTTGCATTTGCTACTGCACTTACAAGAACATGTAGTGGTAATGCGAAGGGTTCCATCCTGTGCACATACATTAGCCAAGGCAAACACCTCTGCTTGAGAATCGCAGTGAAGCGAGGTAGCTGTGCAATTTCTCTTGCCTTGGTATACACAAGATGCTTACAGTCAGCGCATGTAGGAGTTCATACAACGTACAAGAGCATGCAGCATAGAAGCCCAAAAGACTAACTTCTTGGTTTTGGTGGTAAGATGCTTCTTATGTCATACTCTAGCACTAAGCTTCTCAACATGGTCGCTTTGCCAATACAAATGTCAACCGCCACATTGAACGAGAGAATGTTTGTTACTCTCAAATGTGCTTGCGGTGTACTGTAAGAAGTACCATTTGCGAGCGCAAGTGTATTCTTGATGTTTTTAGACATATCAAAAAGAATAGGACTAAGCAAATCGATTCACCGTTGACTGTAGCTCACACTCAATATTAGCAACAGAGGCAGCATTGGCACAGAGAAGAATGGTGATGAAAAGATCCTCTCATTTCTGTTTGACCTAAGGAGTGAGATGATAAATATTTTCCCGTTGATCCTCGTGTGTAGTGGTGTGTATAGACATGTTCTGAGCTGTGTCTCTGGTTCTAAATACATTGGACTTGATCTGACTGAGATCAGTGTAGCATTTGACCCAACGGCCGAGTAGTTTTTGACTTTCATAATGATAACGATATTTACTTCCTTAAGAGGCAGAGGTTTTAGTTCCCTTTTTAGCAGCAAGTTCAATAACCTGTTTGATACCTTCATAGACACCATTTATTTGTCTTCTGTTCACACACGCCTGCCTTGAGTGACCGAGATCCAACCAGTAGGAGTTGAAAAAGTATTGTACACTTCGTTAGAGAATAGCTTTAGCTGTCTGAAGTGCTTTGTCAGTCTCCGAACAGGGAGTCATGCATTAAATAAAAGCTGTTTAGGTTGTCTTGTTAAATAAAAGACCTGAAAGGTCGCACCTAGACTGCTTTTATATCTGAATGTTTTCATTATAAATAATTTCAGCTTTACTGGATAGTTTCTATGTATTTTACTAAAATTTTATAGTAAATTGAAAATGTAAAGTAAACATGTATAGTGTTAGGAACCTAGTATTCACCCTTGGGATGGAGGGCTTGACAGTCATATCTGAAAGAGTTATGGAGTAGATGTATTTAGACATATTTTCAATTGTTTTGTCATGTTTTTTTTACCACCGAGCGTATGTTTTTTTTATAAAAGAGGGGGCAAATGAGCTGCTCACCTGTTGGTAAGTGGCTACCGGCGCCCATAAACAACTGCAACACCAGGAAAATTGCAGGTACGTTGCTGGCCTCCGGCCGCCTACCGGAGAATCGACGGTGGTAAACTATTCAATAGAGGGATTGTACGAGGAAACAAAACTCCTAGTAAAACGATGGTGGACGACAAAGCACCCAGATGGTGTGGATGGTATTGTGAGTTTTGTCACGATGTGCGTTCATGAAATTTTGGTATTTGTCAATTCCTCAGAGCACTCCCCGTGGTAGATGCAATAGAAAATGCATGGAATCAATCTCTTCGCAGTGCCAGTGAATCGAGCCGATCGGACATCAGCGGTATATCAGCACATAAAATTGTGATTTACAATTTCAGTGTTATTGGCAAGTGTAATCGAATTACACGAGTATAATGCTCATGGCTACGCAGGCTATACAAACCACATCTCTTATATTATAATAAATTTATGTTTTAAATATAACATCGGTGACGATATAGTGTTATCTGATCAGGCGTTGCAAAAAAACCCTTTGAATGTATGACATTACTTGTTCGCTGATATAAATTCGATATCTTTAAATGATATACATCATTGGTTGGCATCTTTCAGATAGATAAATATAACAAAATATACATGTTTACCCTGCTAGCCACGAAACCTCTCTTGACTTATTTAATTCGCACTTATGGTATTTCACCGAATACGAATTGTTTATTCGGCCGAATTTTCGTTCAGGTAACATTTTTACCGAACCGAATATCTCGGCCGAACGTTATTCGGCAGGATTAACGAGGTCCTCCTTACCTGAAACCAATTTAATGTCCAAACTTTTTACCGTAAAGCGAGCAGGATTATCGTCAGAGCCTTTCCCTTGCTCTCCCGCCACACCTGGTATGTTATTGCATCATCTGGTACTGCACAATACAATTGCCGGTCCATGCTACGCTTATGTTTTGACTGTTTTTGTGAGTTATTAAAAACAAGTATAGTAGGTAAGGTTTCAGCCGAATATAATCGCTCGCCGAATACGAATAATTCGGCCTTAAACCTTGCCTTGAATATTTGTCGAATACCGAAATATAAAACGAATATTGCTTTCGGCCCATCCCTGAATATTAAGTATATTGTGTAAGTTTCTATATAGAAAAAATAAATAATTATTTAATTTTTTTTTAAATCAAGTATGTATGATTTTTAGTGTTGTTTACTAATTACGCCATTTAAAATACCTACTTGTCACAAGATTGGTGCAAGCCTTCTTCTCTCGTACGTGGCGTCAGAACCATATATTCGTCGGCAGTTTCGTTGTTGCATCGCTATTATATTTTCGACTAAGGGCCACGCTCACATAGAATCACCACGTCACATAGCAGCATAAAGCGCGGAGACGTGGCGAGGGCGTATGACGGTTGCGGATAATCAAAGAAATATAAAACATAGACTCAATCTATTATTATAATACGACTAAAAATGGGATGCCCGCCATCGCCACTACGGTGGCATGCCACTTGGTGGCGGTGACGCATTTTTCTTTCCGACAAAAACGACGCTGTGCGACATACATAACTATTAGGTCTATTTTATGTTTCTTTCAGTATCCGTCGCTACCACACGCCCTCGCCACGTGTCTAAACCGCGCCTGAGCTGTCATGAGTTTTGTTGAGTGAAGAGAACCGGAGACCCTTATAACTGGTAATGAGGCATCACATCTTAGTCGTAATATAATAGTCGTAATCGTCGATAATGTACGTACGTTTAAGTATTAGCGCTTGATTATTTATTGATACGTTATTCACATCTTACGGATTGTGAGCTGACTTTTCATTCTTACTGCTATTAAAAAACTGTCAGTCGTAGGACTGCACGTCAGAAGTGAAATCTTCTTAGCTCCATAAACTTGTAAACATTATTTTTGCAATTTTAAGAAATATTTTTTTAGGAAGTATTTTTATTAGAATTTTTTTATCAGCGTATTAATGTAGTGCTTTTTCCCATCCCAAAGTGGCCAGTGCCGTGTAGTGGCGGTTAAGAATATCCACTACCCCATATCTTCCCGTGGGTGTCGTAAAAGGTTACAGAGGGAAACAGGCAGGAAAAAAGCTGAAGGCCATACAGCTTAACGCACCAACCTCGGCACATCCCGATAAGGAGGTGGATCAAATGAGTATGAGGATATTTCTAGAGCCATGCATTCTTTCAAAACCAACTATACGGACTTAACGCAAAACTAGGCACAAGAGAGAACGGTGAGCTGAAGATAGGGAAATCTAAGACAGGGCATCGGAACCCAAGGGGCCAGCAGCTCGCCGACTTCATGAGGAAAGAGGAACTCTTTATGGTGAACTCTTTCTTCCAGAAGCAGCCCCACAGAAAGTGGACCTGGTCGAGCCCTGACGGTTCGAAAAAATTGGGAGTGACTTCATTATGACGAATAGACGGCAGCTGTTCAGTGATGTCTCAGTGATCGCAAGGATGAAAACTGGCAGCGATCACTGAATGGTTAGAGGTGAACTGAACCTAAATGTTAAGTTGGACAGGTCTCATCTAATGAAGTCAACGCTCCGTCCCTCTCGTGCTCTAATCCAAAGTCCCGAAACCTTTCAGCTCGAGTTACAAAACCATTTTCAGTAGAAGACTGCAATGCAGTGGATGATATGAATATCCACTGCATTGCAGTCGTAGCTAAGTTCTGCAAGACCCGCCGTAGAAGAACACTCAAACTTTCCGATCACACTGTTAATTTCATGGCTGTTAGACGGGAAATGAAGCTGCAGTTTCAAAAGATTTGACTGACAGATTTGACAACTTTAATACTGCTCGTATTGAAGAAGCGATCAAGCGGACCCAGAGCTCCAAAGTCTGCTAGATGCATGCGGCAAGACTAACGCAACTTCAATACTGCTCGTATTGAAGAAGCGATCAAGTGGAACCGGAGCTCCAGTCAGTCAGCTGCCAGAAATCTGTCTGCCAGAAAGAGCCAAATGTCAATGCTGAAGATCGAGTGTGGTAGCATTCTTTTCGGGGCACCTGAGATTTTGAGTAAGATTGAGCTGTTCTATGAGCAGCTGTACACATAATTGTTGGAGCCACACGCAAGTCTTATCCAGCACTATTCCGATGATTTCCCGGATGTCAGGTTGAGCGTGATAAGAATGGCTCTCCAGCACCTTAAAAACGGCAAGGCTCAAAGCGAGGATAGAATTACAGCGTAGCTTCTGAAAGCGGGTGGAAAATCGGTACTTACTTATTCCGAAGTTCTTTAATTCGAAGACGTGGATCAGAGGTGCGATGGTCTTGTTCTTCAGAAAAGGCGACAACGCTCTCTTGAAGAACTGCAGACCGTTTCCCTTCTTAGTCGCGTCTACGTCCTGTTTTCGAGAGTCATTACGAATCGACTCGCACGTAAACTCGATGACCTCCAGCCTCCCGAAAAAGCCGATTTACGAAAAGGCTTCAGTACCATAGCTCACATACATTGCGGCAGATTGTACAGAAGACCGAAGAGTACAATCTGCCACTTTGCTTCGCTTATCCACTATAAGAAAGTCTCTGATTCCGTCGAAATTTGGGCGGTGCTACAGACCAAGCGGTTCAGCGATGCCAAGTTGACTGTCGGTATATCGAACTGCTGAAGTGTTTGTACATAAGGACTACGATGGCTATCCGAATACAAAACCAGAGTACGAAACCTATACAACTGCAGAGAGGTGTAAAACAGGGTGACGTTATGTCCCCAAAACTTCACCGCTGCATTAGAAGCCGTTTTCAAGCTACTGAACTAGAAAAGATACGGTATTGACATCAATGGCGAGTACATTACTCACCTTCGATTTAATGAATAGTCCTTATGGCAGAATCGCTGGAGGACCTCAGAACTATGCTCACTGACCTCAATGGTGTCTCCCAACGGATAGGTCTTAAGATGATCACGGACAAAACAAAGTGTAATGTCCATGTCACACCTATGCCGGTAGTTGTTGGGATCACTAAGCTCGAAGTTGTTGACGAGTTCATTTACCTGGGACAAATCGAAGAGTAAGTGAGTGTTCAGTGAGTCCAACTACGACCGAGAGGATTCAACTCAGCTGGGCAGCGTTCGGGAAATTACGACACATCTTCTTGTCATATATACCTCAAAACGAGATTGTACAGCCTGAAAACGAGATTGTACAACCAGTGCGTGTTGCCAGTGATGGCTTATGGATCTGAGACGTGGTCCTTCACTGCTGGCCGTATGAGGACGTTCTAGGTCGCTCAGCGAGTTATAGAGATCTGTGCTCGGGGTGTTGCGTGATAAACTTAGAAATGAGGGTATCCGAAGTAGGACCTGAGTGATCGACATACAACAGAGCCCAACAGATCAGTAAGCTGAAGTCTCAATGGGCCGGACATATAGCTCGAAGAACCGACAACCGAGGCGGAAAAAGGATCTCAAGTGGCAGCCTCGTACCGGTAGGCGTTCGAGGACGACTTAGTAAGACATGCAGGAAGTCAATGGATGTCGGTAGCTCAGGACCGTGCTTTATGGTATTCCTTGGCGGAGGCCTATGTTCAGCAGTGGACTTGTGAAGGGCTTTAATGATGATGATGTAAGTGTCCAACGTGCCTAAAGAATTTTTCACGTCAATACTAATTGGGCATCACGTTTTCCCATTAAAACTTTCTAGCGGACTAAGACAGCAAGCACCAGTTTCCAAGATCACACTCGTGGCATGACTTATTTTCATGCGCAATATCCATGTATTTTAAATATATTATTTTTCAGCACCAGTTCGTTAAAGTTTAACGATGCACATGGGCTTAATTCGTTGCAGGGACGATTTGCTGATTGGTTTTAAATACGTACTGTTTGTTAATTTGAGGCTATGACTCACAGGCACTTTATCAATAATATTATATCTTTTTAACAGGAAAGAGCGAAATCGCACGGCTACACCAAAAGTTCCTGAAACAAACATTGGGGCTGAAGTACAGTGTGCTCTGCGATGGGCAGTACGAGGAACTTTACTACTGTGGCTTCTTATGCTAACATGGATATGCGCAGCGCTTTATGATCAAGTGTCATCGATGCGGATAGATATAGCCAAAGGTACCTGTATTTTTATTAAACCCCGACGCAAAAAGAGGGGTGTTATATATTTAACGTGGGTATATGTGTCTGTCTGTGGCATCGTAGCTCCCAAACGGATATACCGATATATTTATTTTTTGTTTAGAAAGTGACTTGATCAAGAGTGTTATTAGCTATAATTCAAGAAAATCTTTTCAGCCAGCCAATCAAGCGTAAAATAGCAGTCCAGTGTTGCTTTGTTTTGTATGGTGTGTGTAGAAAACCGGGGACCCTTTTTTATTGGAAACGAGGCATTCATTTGGCTTGGATTTTCGAAAATCGAGTTTTCATCAGATTTCAACGTTTTGAGATCCCAGGAAGCTATTCTGACTAATTTCACGTGGACGTCTGTACGGATGTATGTAGTTATGTGTGTGTGTGTGTGTGTCAAGTATGTAAACCTTTCATAACTTTTGAACGTCTTGATCGATTTTGCGGTTTGCGGCGTTCTAAAGATCTCAATGTGGCATAGATTTGATGATAATATGAACTGATTCGGACGAGTAGAATTTGAAAAATCTCACTAATAAAAATTTTGTAAATTAATACAACAGACTTATTTTAGGCTTTTTTTTAGATAGAATAGGGTGACAAACGAGCACACAGTCCAACTGATGGTAAGTGGATGCTGTTGCCCATAGACATCTACATTTATCCGCGATTAAGAATCAAAATGCAAATGCGTTGTCACCCGTGAGCACTAAGATCAAATGCCTCGTTTCCCGTAAAAACAGGGTCTCCGGTTTTCTACACTCACCATAAGAAACACAGCAGCATTGGACTGCTATTTTACGCTGGTATTATGTGAGAGCGTGGTCCTTCCTCGGTCGAGTCGACCCATTCATGCTACAACCATAATATAGTTGCAACGTGGGTCTACCAGGTATAAAAACTAAAAAATTTTAACTTATGTATATAAATATAACATATAACATAATTAACGCACTTTGAGAAAGTAGTTTGTTCAGAATCGTTTACTGAATCGATTCCTATCATTTTTAATATAAGTAATTTTTTGTCCCAAAAATAATTAAAACTACGTAAATTATATTCACACTAAATCTGTACAGTCAAAACAAACTGAAATGGACCGTAACTTAAGGCAATAAGACTTTTAAGAGTGCAGTTTTATTTGTATTAATTCTAATTCTCTCATTCAATAAAAATAAAGAAAAATGAACTTTATTTCAAACACGTTAAAGTCTTTGCGTTCGTGGATTTGTACTGTGACCACAACATTCTTCCGGAATTAGTATAACTAATTTGATAAATAATCAGTGCATAAAAATGTTTAACTAAAAATTCAGTGTATGTATTATGATTATAACATAATATACTAATTGGGGTGTCTGAGGGTGTGCGTTAATTACGTTACATATTATATATATAAACAATCCAATGTTTATTTTATGCTTGGGGTAGGAAAAGGATCGGAGTTACTGCAATGTCAGGCAAATAGCGACAAATAATCAAATGTTTTCATAAATAATTATAGGTATAATTATCACAAATTTTTCATTTATATTGTAATTGCGCCATAATTAAAAAAGGCAGTTGCAAGCTGCTCCAAAATCGCGTTATTTGCTTAGGTTGTCTCAAATCTAGTCTATAATACCGTGTTATCTGGACGCATGCGTAGAACTCATTTCCGTGACGTCATCCTCAGTTGTAGCTCAATCTTCATTGGAGATGTCTTTGAGTAATCGCGAATAATAACAATTTTTTACGTATTTCTGTTATTTACTAGTAAAATAATAAATATTTTAGTACTCGACTGTGTAAATGCTGGTGGTTCAGTGTTTTCGTTGATGTCTATACTAAGTTTCATGTGATATTGTGGTTTTTTATTTGATTAAAAGTAAATTGTGTGCGTGAATCAGTAAATTTATGTAGGATATTCTTGAATTTGTATGTTATTTTTGAACAATGTCAGAAATGTTAAGGTTTTTAATAGTTGTTTATTTTATTGATAGGTGTTTATTCGCTCCCCTTGTTAGGGTGTCGCAGCTTCGACGCATGCGTACTGCTTATTTCACTACGTTACATGGCAATAGGTCGATATTACCTTAGTAAATTACATGAATAATACGCAACGCGTACATGTTGGTAATACACTATCTTATCACTAGTTCATATTTAAGTCGTCGTGACTTCTAGAAAGAAATATAAAAGTATAATTATTATTTTAAAGTTAATAGTATTGGTAAATTTCACTGCAGTAGTTGTAAATTTATTTAAGTTTAGTATATCAAAAATACGATCAGGAACTACTTGTTTAAATAAAAATATTTTTATCATGTATTAGCTATGTAAAAAGTTAAGTCTACATTGTATAACACTATCCGTAGTACCACAACGAGGTTAAAATGATCGTCTTATTGGATTTTGAAATTGAATAGTAAACGTAGTAGAGCCGTGGTAGCTCAGTGGTTAACGCTCGCTGTAAATATAACAGAACGCGAGTAACCCGGGTTCGATCCCCGCCGGCACCAATGAAATTGTTAATTGCAATTTTAAGTGCTGATTTACCATGTGCTCGGCGGTGAAGGAAAACATCGTGAGGAAACCTGCATGTCTGGGGAATGAGAAAAAAAATATTTCGAAGACATGTGAAGTTCGTCAACACGCATTTGGGCAGCGCGGCGGACACTTCCTTGCCCTAAACCCTCTCAGAAATGAGAGGAGGCCTGAGCCCTGCAGTGGGACGTATTTAGGCTGTAACTTTACTTTTACTTTTAAACGTAGTATCTTATGTGACCTGTTAAAATAACGTTCTCAGTTCTGTATGTATGTTTCTTCTAACTTTGTCTAAAATACATTAACAGTAACCTTTAGCGAATTGCGCATGCAAATTATTCAATTACCTCGGTAATACAGTCGATAAATATCCTGTACCATTGTCCTTACACATTGGAGTTCTTAATACCGGTAATAAGTATATAACATTCGCGACTCATTTTCTTCTCACTGTTGATTTTATTAATATGTAGTAACACATGCCATTTTACACATTTGCAAGTGTCATTACAATGCAAATAGGCGACATTCGCCAGGAATTCCATCTTAGTTCTCAGGGGTGACAACGCATCTGCGTTTTGATTCTTAATCGAGAATAAATGTAGATGTCTATGGGCCACAGCATCTGCTTACCATCAAGTGGACTGTGTGCTCGTTTGTCACCCTTATTTTATAAAAAAATAAAATAAATTAGAAGTGAGTTGGAGCAAGGTCTAGGGAATATGGTGTTTGAGAAAGGGTCCCCCCCCTTACCGTTACCGTTGCAGCCTATTAAAGTCCACTGCTGAATATAGGTCTCCCCCATAGATTGCCTCATAGAGGGGATATTTGCCACAGTTGCCATTGATGCCATGTCTTTTACTTTTAGTCGTTATTAGGAAGACGTTGATTATTATCTCCTGATTTGTTGTTTGCCTCTGTCGACATCTTACGACATCCACAACGGGATGATACGGGTTGGTAGATATTCTTACACCGCAACGACACGGTCCCGCTCTACTACTCCCGCTTTGCTAATTTTGCCAACGTTTGTTGTGCATGTGGCTGGGCGTTGTCATGAAGAAGGAATGATAAAGAAGAGTTCGCCAATCTGGGTTGTTTAAGTGCCGGCTTCTTGATTGTCATACTCAAGTCTTGACAACAACGTTTAGCAGTAACTGTGCCAACAAATGACATGAGTTATAGTAAATAACACTCATTGTAGACCACCTAATTGTCATCATAAGCTTGCTCACAATTTTTTTTGGGCACCTGGATCTAATCACTGTGGTGAACACTCGCGATTGTCGTATAAGGTTCACTTCTCATCGCAGGTGAAAACTCTCAAACAATTCTCCAAATTCCTTCCTTTTTATGCTGAATGTAGATTCTTTACGCGAATTCTTCTTTATGCGAGAGCTGACCCAGATTGCAATTAAAATGCATTCAATGTGGGTCTAGTTTTCATGCTCTTGCAGCGCGACGTAGGGGCTAAACTATTACTATAAAGAAAAATTTTCTGCTCTAAAAAGTTTCTGGAGATTTTATGTACCGTGAAACCCTTGGACTGTCTCTAATTTCATCTATTGTTATAAATGTTTTGACGTGAATTTTGATGTAATTAATAATAAAATTGTATTTTTTTCTTTTTAGACTAGATAAATTTAGACTTTCTTTGTCCCCGTGTTACTGTAGACACTGTTGACCATGCACTGCATTACTAACCACTGTATTTAACATTATACAAATCGCAGCGTTATTATTTGGCACATGTTTATCTGGGCGAGTGAATTGATGTGAAAGCCTATTCGTTTTTAGGTAAATTTACGGTATAATTAAAGCCATGTATTCTTTAGGCAACGATGACGTGCAACATGTGATGCAACTTCTTGTTTATCTCGTTTCCACATGTTCCACGTCAATTGTTAAATAAACCGTCTGATATAAACGTTAGTTTTAGGTAAAATCACGATTACAAGTAGGCTATGAAAACTTTTTTTTATAGGATAGGGTGACAAACGAGCACACAGTCCACCTGATGATAAGTGGTTGCTGCGGCTCATAGACATCTACATCTATCCTCGATTATGAATAAAAATGCAAATGTGTTGTCACCCGTGACTAAGATAGAATGCCTCCTTTATAGTAAAAAGGCTCTCCGGTTCTCGACACTCATCATACGAAACACAGCAGTATTAAGCTGCTACTTTACGCTGGTATTCTGTGAGAGCGTGGTCATTTCCCGGTCGAGCCGACCCATACCTTGCCGAGCCGAACATGCTGCGCATCAATTGTTTCCTAATGACCTAAGGGTCTCACAGCTTAGAGTTAAGGCATAGATCTTGCACTGCTGAAACCTTAGTTTTACACCCAACGAAATGTAAGAACTACCTTTTGACATTTGTCACATTTAGGTAGGTACATACAATACTCAGGGGTGACAACGCATTTGCGTTTTGATTCTTAATCGAGGATAAACATAG